ATCCTGTTTCTCTAAGATTCATTTTAATAGTGTGACATGTAGACCCTTTGCAAACAACGGCCGTTGATAGGCATTGGCTGAGTAGCGATCACGTGGGCACCCCAGCACACACGAACACAACAATTGCACAGCAACAGAGGAACGATGTTTTCTGTGCTATCCGTGCCGAGATATAAGCAGGACTACGAGTTGGTGGAGAAAGTTTGTGAGTTAGTGAGACAGTTCTGTTGTTAGCTGTTGCTGCTAGAAGCTGGTAGCTGAGGCCGGGGACAGTTCGGGAACCCAGAGAAAGGGGAACGTACGCCGTTTAAAGCCGCTACCAAGCAACGGCTAGTGACTGTAACAGACTGAGAGGGCCTAGTGTTCCCTATAGTGATGTGTGCAGTGTGTAAAACAGTGAGAGCATGATCTTTACTTCTAGTTACGAGTTGTAAGAGTTCAGTACATCCAATTACCAGTGCAAACCCCACGAATAGTCATGCTAAGATCGTGATAATATTATCCCCACCTACGTCTGTGTCTTCCTATTAGTCTCAGTCCTTCAAGTTTTCCTGCCAACATCCTCTGTGCGCATACCTTCGCTTCGATGAGTGCTACATGTCCTTCCCATCATATCCTCATTGACTTGATCGTTCGAAGTGTTACCTTGGTACGTTTACTGCGGCGTGTTTGTGCACCCCTGAGCCTCAGTATCTCGCGCGACAAATATTTGTTCTGTAGCGGCATAAACAGGGTGTGGCACCAGAAGCACAGCCTCCTGTATCCGACATGCGCAGTCGTAGTAGAGCAACGGTGTGCTCATAATGCGAGGGGTTTCCTGTTTTCCTCAGTCCCTCCACGCATGTGCGAGGATGGGACCTTGAATTAAGCCGTTATCTCTTCCAGCTCATCATGCCGCCTGGTTAGTAAACCCACAGGTGGATGTGACGAGCTTCACGTCCCGGTATACTCCATGTAGTGGAGTTCCACCTCCACTCCCCAGTACGTAACCATTCTGCACAGGAGCAGCTCGGTGCGGGAGGAGGGGCAATGGACGAGACACTTAACCCGTGACCCCGGCTCAAACTGTCATGTGGGCCCCCACTGCGTCATCGTCCCTAGAGCCCGTCAGACTGCGGCCCTTTGTGTCTCGGTTCACTTAACCGTTTGCATGCTACGAGCGAGATATATCGTTTCGAAACTCTCTCCTTCCTCTGAGTAACTTGCGTACGCGACATTGTCGAAGTTTGATAGTCAGTGGCTAGTCTGCGGGTTGGATGACTGCGCAGTCGGGGTTCGATTAGAGGTCTCCGGACTGGCTGTGGGCCCCAAACGAGCTTCCCATGGCGGCGGTGGGAAGGCCGGGTTCCTCCCTGTGTTTTGGGAGGAGGCGCGGTGCTTCGGGAGTCTGACAGAGCCTCTCGTTGCCGGTTGGTGGATTCTGCCCGTTGTTTTGTATGGACGTGAAACTTGGCCTTCACATTAAGGGGAGAACAGACTGGTGGCTTTTGAGGGGAGCATTTCGACCTAAGAAAGAGGAAGTGACAAGAAGCTGGAGAAAATTACGCAACAAGGAACTTCATAATTTGTAGAGTGATCAAAACAAGGATAGGACAAGATGGTCGGAAGATGTGGCACGCATGGGATCTATGGTAAAGGTAGGCAGACACAGAATGAGGGGAAGAGTCCTGTTGGAACACTTAGGCGGAGATGGCATCATAATATTAAAAACATACAGCATGTGTGGACTGGATTCATCTGGCTGAGAATGGGGTCATGGTGTGGGCCCTTGCGATTTCAGTGTTCCAGAAGCGGCGGGCAAGTCGTTGATCCTCTGAGCTACTGTTAGCTTACCTGTGGAGCCTGTAAAGGGCGTGCGAACTTGCCGACAGAGCTTGAATGTGTGCTGGTAGCTGGCAACGTGGCTGGCGACACCAGGTCGGGCGATGCCCAAGTTTTCCTGCGTCCTGTGACCGTCTTCCTACTGCAGATCGTATCTCGTATCCTCAGCCACGTCATATCTGCTGCCCCTCCATCTGTCTGGCGAGCATCAATCATGTATTCTCGTAACGTGTGTCGCTCGAGCAGTTGGCCTCTGCTTGCTTTCACGCAGCCAGCTGAACGCTGCTTTATTTTAATGGGCCCGGTTCCACTCCCACGCCTGCAAGTGGATGTATCTTTTGACCCTATAAAGCGCAGTGGTTACTGCGTGTGCCGCCTGCACACACTCGCCGGCTCTACTGAGCAGAGAGCTTGAAGAGCTAAGAGTTGCTCAGCTGGTTAAAAAATTAGAAACAGTACCATGTTCACAAGAACTCGCCATTGACCCCTGCCATGAACCTGATGAATCCATTCTACACGCCTTCCATCATGTTTCTTTAAGATCCCCTTTATTATTATCCGGTATAGCGACTGGCTACGGCCTGGACGACAGAGGGGTCGGAGTTCGAGTCCCGGCAGGGTAAAAAATTTTCTCCATGTCCAGCCAGCCGCCTATCGCATAGGTACCTGGGCCAAAGCGGCAGGGGCGTGAACCTGACCACTCACCTCAAACTAGTGCCGAGGTCAAGAAAACGTGGAGCTGTACATCCGCTACCCTATATACCTTCATGGCATAGCGCTCAATTAGTTACGCACGGGGACCACCTTCCCATCTCCGCGCAGTCTCCTACGTATCGTTTTCCTTCAGGTTTTCTTACCAAAGCTTTGTATTTCTGCTTCTCCACGAGTGCTGCATGGTCGGCCCATCTTATTCTCCTTGTTTTGGTCATTAGCTTTAACACACCGAAACTCTGCATACTGCCCACAGAGTGTATCTGTGTGTTCCTTACGGTTCTCACAGTAAACAGCGGCTGTTCCCCTAAACAGCATTAACCGGTTGGGCTTTGTAGTGGTGACGTAGTGTGTAAGTGTGACTTGGCGAGCGGCTGAGAGAAAAGCCGCAGCTGAAAGCACGGCCGTGTCAGTCTCCTGACCACATGCAAGACCAGGAGCGGGCAGCTTTCGTGCCACTGTCGGACAGTAGCTCCACGGTTCACATTCCACTGAACTGACCGACAGGCAATGGACCGTGTAGCTGTGGGAACATTCCCTTTGAATTCTCCATCCGAGCACAGAAACTACAATGTCCGTCTGTCTGTATCTATCCATCCATGAACCGTTCAGTCTGACTGTATAATCCGCACTCGACATTTCTCAGACAAGTGGAGGGAGCTCCGGCTCACCTACCTGAGCGACGGAGATGCCCATCACAGTGGCCGTTCTGAACGCTGAGGATCATAGGTTCGAATCCCACTCGAGGCATGGATGTCTATATACGTATATTCTGTACTTGTGCTGTCCTGTGTGTAGGTAGAGGCTTTGCTACAGGCTGATCCCCCGTCCAGAGAGTCCTACCGACTGTGTATAGGATTACGAAACTAGAAAAAGCGGCTAGGGCCCAACAAAGATGTGCAGAGCCTTTGCTGAATAAAAGAAACCTACATCAGTTAGTGTGGCATGTGGTTACCGACGTTTCGGGCGAACTTCTACCGTAAAGACTGTGTCAGCAGATTCCTTAATTGAGCACGACGCTATGACAATGAATGGGGGAGTGATGGTATAGCTCCACCATTTTAAGCCTCTGCAGTAATGAGTGGTCAGCTTCACGGACCGGCCGTTTTATCCCTGGGAATGAGTCCCGGTAGAGCCTCAGCGTCCAGACTGGTTCTGGGGCCCACCCAGCCTCCTGTCCAATGGATACAGGTGTCTCTTTCCCCGGGGATAAAGCGTCCGGGACGTGAAGCTAACCACTCACCTCCGTCTAGTACCGAGATCAAGTATTGTGGAACTATACCTCCACTCCCCCATACCCCTTCATGACAACACAGGTTGAACATTACCTTGTGCCGAGGCCCACGGCTTGGGCACTGTGGTACACTGTAGCGCACGGGCCGCCCCGCGCCGCGCCGGTCTAGCGTGAAACGAGCCTGGCTGTGGACAGACTCCGGCTGTTGGTTGGGGCTGACACACAATAGGGCCCGCAGTGTCCACAGGCGCTGGAGCGTGGAGCTCGCTGACTCGGCTTCTTTGGACGCGGGTTCGAAATCCTCTAAGGGCATCCACAATGCTCAGAGCAAGCACGCCTTTCCAGACCGGGACCGCTCGTTCGCAGGCTGCGCAAGCGCTGTCAACAGTAGCCTCAAACCCCGACTGTTGGAGGTGACTTACAACGTTAGACTTTAGGCTATGTTTTTACAAACAAGGGGGAGGTAAAGCGGCCGAGGCGTGAACCTGACCACTCACCTGCATCTAGTGCCGAGGTCTGGGATACGTGGGATATGTACATCCTGGTAAGGTAGCACTCCACAGCACTTACGAGGGCCCGCTTTCCCGTGGCGCCTGTGAGCGAGAGACTGGGTCTGGTGTGGGGCAGTGTTGGCAGCCTTGGAGCCCACGGAGTCTTTCATTTGCATTCCGAAGGACCGGGCGGAGGCACAGCGTACACAATGGCAGGAAACGGACCGAGAAGAAAACTAAGATCGTTTAAATGAAGGGGAGTGAAGCAGCTCTTCGTGACCCGTTTTTGGCTGCAACAACCGGCAATAATTGCGCGTTCGGTGCTGCTCGTGAACAAGGAAGGGCTGAGTAAAATCGCGAAATCTTCTAAGTGTTTTCTTGTGCGAGAAGTCAGTCCGCGTTTAACGATCGCTGGCTTCAGTTGAGCTGTTCTTCGTCTTCTTGATTGTTTTCTCAAAGTCGGGCTTTCGGCAGCTGGATTTGTTTCCGTCATCAGGTGTAGGGGAGGTGAGGTGTTAAAATCTCGCGACGACAGGTAGTCCCTGTGTCCATGAGAAGATTTTAGTCTTCATCTTGACAATTGGGGGGGGGGCACTCTACTGCAAGCCGGAGGGTCGCGGGTTCCATCCCGATGAGCTCATTGGATATTTTCATTTGACCTAATCCTTTCAGTCGCACTATGGCCCTGGGGTCGACTCAGCCTCTAACAGAAATAAGAACTAGGAATCTTCTTGGGGGTGTAATATTGTAATATGTACTTAGACTTTTGATCATACTATATACTATTTTAATGTGTAATTTTTGTGTTAGCCAAGAGGGTGCTCCGAGAGAAGTTGAAACCGTCTGTCGCAAGCCTGATACATGTTATCAACTCCTGACCTTTTAACACTTCGATAACATGTTCCCCCAAGCTGGAGAGAAGAGTGTCTAGTTTTTTGGTTCGTCCACGCGCTATGCCGCACGTACACAACTGAACCTTTAAACTATGTACTCATGACTCCCCCACCCTCTTTGGCCCTCTTTTTAAAGTTTAATATATAATACCAGTAAGATTAAAAACAGGAGGAGACTTCTTCAAAAACTTGTACTGTATACACACTGTATATACTATCTACATCTTTTACTTCTTTTAATAAAAACTTAGTATAATTGTTGAGCATAGAAATTCGTCTTCAATTAGTGGGTTCCTTACCCGCCTTACCCAGCAAGAAGATATTACATGGTGTCAGAAGTGGGATATCTTTGAAGACAACAGCTGGATTCGATTCGCAAGAAACGTTTGGTTTAAAGCTCAACAATTTGGAAGTTCACACCATCTGGACCTAGGGAGTCCTGCTTCGAGAGGTGTCCGAGAAGCCAGGAGTTACTCCAGAGTCTACGCCTAGGAGGAAGCGGTGCGCAACGCTATTCAGAGAGGAGAACTTCGCTAAGTTGGTAGCAACAAGGCTTTGGAGACGCACTACGACCCGATATCCCCAGGGAAGTCGCAGTCACGCCCATTGCAGCTGGTGCCGCGAGATACGGCGAGAGGCAACCCCAGGGACGAGCCTCGAACCGAGAACTGCATCGCTTGGAGCTACTCTACCTTACTTTTCTGTAAAAGGTTAGTCACAACATACAGTAGGCAACTGTTTTCATCATGGCAGATGATGAAAGTTCCGATAATGAAGAGGGGGCATTCATATCGGTTATGCAAGCAATAAAACTGATACCAAGGCCTTTTGAGGGAAATCCAAAACAATTAAGAGAATTTATTGAGGGGGTAGAAGCCGCAATTGGAGTGGTTCATCCAAGTAAACAAGAGTTGTTGTTAAAATTTGTAGTCGCAAAGATTCAAGGAGATGCGAAAGATAAATTGTTAGCTCGTGTCGAAAGGAACACTTGGAGACAAATTAAAGGCATTTTAGAGGAAAATTACCTAGTAAAGAGGACATTAGAATATTATACGGGCTTGTTGTTCTCTTCAAAACAAGGACCGTCAGAAACCGTAGCACAATGGGGAGCTAGGTTAGATCATTTAGCCATGGAATTACGGACAGAAGCCAGACATAGGCTCCTGGTGTTAGAGGATAAGGATAATGAACATTATGTTGAAGGGGGTTTGAAATTAATTGGAGAATTTTTGAAAGGAACTTTCATTTCGGGGTTAAGAGATGAACGAATCAGAGTTATAGTAAAAGCTAAAGGGGAGGATGATTCCTTAGCTCAGATTATTGAAACAGCGATCCAAGAGGAGAGTGAATTAAAGTCTCAGAGATATAGAAATCCCCAACAAAACCCTCAATGGTATCCAAGAAACCTTCCCGTAAAACAAGAGAGAATAGGAAGAAGTCATCCTGGTGGGAGTCAGGAACCTTCTATAAAGCGAGAAGTTATGGCCGCTTCTGCGCTTAAGAATTGCTATAATTGCTTGAAGCCAGGGCATATAGCAAGAAATTGTAATAATGCATCGCAATGTCCAAAGTGCGGCAAAAGAGGACATGTGATGGCACAGTGTTATCAGGGAAACCGGCCACGAGGTGGATCCGGCAGTCGGGGTTCACCTGCGGTGCAAGAGGCTGCATAGGAAGGGTGAACGCCCGAGAGCCATCAGATGAGAGTGGAGACACCCCCACTCAAAAGGCTGATGAAGACCTGGGTTCTTCGGAGGACACTGGGTTTGTCGCAGAGAGTAAGCGGAGGAAAAATTGTGTAGATAGTAACTCTGCGATGGGAGGTATATCATTTATGCAAAATGGTGTACGCTCTGACATGCCAATCTTCGGAGGGGACGCCCAGAGATGGCATAACCCGTTTGAGCTCTATGTAACTTGCCCCAAGTTCACAGTAGAGGCGGGAACTGGCTTAATAGATACAGGCGCGCAGATTTCCTTAGTAAGAAGGAAAAGTTTAAAGAGACTCCCAAAAGAAAATATTGTCGAGACCTCCGTGACAATGCAAGGAATAACAGGAAGCTGTAGAAGTTTAACACAGGGCATTTACTTGGAAATTAATGAAAGTAAACCATTTTTATTTTATATCGTGGATGAGCTACCACGTAATGTTGATGTCATTTTAGGACATAAATGGCTAATTGAAAATGGTTATGTGATGACTCGTAATCCTGCTTTACCTCCTTTAAGTGAGGGTATTGTGAAAATTCCAACCAGAGAAAAAGGTGTCCGATTAATAGAGAAACAAGAATTGTTACCTGGAGTTTATTGTGGTACTTCCTTAGGCGAATGCAATGGTGAATTTGTTTCCTGTTTAATAGTAAACTTAACAGCAGAACCCATTATGACCTTACCCCTACCGAAATTAATTAAACCCCCATGTAAGTTTGAAAGGCTAAGCAAGGAACAGCTTTTTTCACAACAACGTTTGGACGAGTTGAACAAAAAATTAAGGTTGACACATATAAAGGAAGGCGAAGAAAGTATTAGAGAACTTTGTGAGGAATATGTTGACATTTTTAAATTACACGGTGATAAGCTAACAGCAACCACCGCTGCTATGCATCATATCCCTACTCCGCACTTCCCAAAAGGTCGAGCCATCACGTTAAAAAACTATAGATTAGCAGAAACACACAAAGAAGAAGTAAATAAACAAGTTAAAGAAATGTTAGAAGACGGTATTATAGTTCCGAGTAAGAGTGAATGGAATTTCCCTCTTATCGTAGTACCCAAAAAGCTAGACGCGTCTGGTAAAAAGAAATGGCGCATTTGTGTTGATTTTCGTAAATTGAATGATATCACTTCAGGGGATAGTTTTCCGCTTCCTAACATTCAAGAGATTCTCGATAACATAGGAAAATCAAAATATTTTTCTGCATTAGACTGTGCATCAGGTTTTCATCAGATCCTAATCACACCTGAAGACAGGTGCAAAACTGCTTTTAGCACACCCACAGGACATTTCGAATACGTTCGGATGCCATTCGGACTAAAAGCAGCACCGGCTACGTTTCAGAGAATGATGAATTCTATTCTGAGGGAATCTATAGGAGAAAGATGTTTAGTGTATATAGATGACGTCCTCGTCACTGGTAGGACACTAGAGGAACATCATAGAAAACTGAGAGAAGTTTTTGACCAATTCAGGAAGTACCATATTAAAATAGAGCCTGATAAATGTGAGTTTTTAAAACCAGAATTAGCATATCTTGGACATGTTATCACGGCAGAAGGAGTAAAGCCAGACCCAAAGAAAATCGAGGCCGTGGTTCAATTCCCGGTTCCTGAAAAGGAAAAAGATGTAAAGGCTTTCTTAGGATTAGTAGGTTATTACAGAAAATTTGTTAAACGTTTCAGTTCTTTAGCAAAGCCTCTTACAGATATGTTGAAGAAGGGAAAAGAATGGCAATGGACCGATTTAGAACAAGAAAGTTTTGAGATCTTAAAAGAAAAGTTAATTGAGTTTCCTATTTTACAATATCCTGATTTCAGCCAACCTTTTATTTTAACCACTGATGCTAGTGGCTATGCATTAGGTGCAGTTTTAAGCCAAGGAACCCCAGGAAAGGATCGACCGGTTGCCTATGCCAGTAGGACTTTGAATGGAGCCGAATTAAATTATAGTACAGTTGAAAAAGAATGTTTAGCTATAGTCTGGGCATGTAAACATTTTAGACCGTACCTGTTAGGAAAACCCTTTCAAATTTGGACTGATCATAAAGGATTAACGTGGATATTTAATGTAAAAGACCCCAGTTCGAGGCTCTTAAGATGGCGTTTACTGCTTGAGGAATATGAGTTTGAAATCAAGTATAAACCAGGTAAACAAAATACCAATGCAGACAGTTTAAGCAGATATCCTGTCTGTACTCTTGAACAAACAGAACTGACAAAAGAACGTAAACTGAGAATTCTGAAAGAAATGCATTCTGATTTAGTGGGAGGACATCAAGGGATTTCACGAACACTAGAAAGAATTAAGCTATATATTACATGGCCAAACATGCAGGAAGATGTTATCCAGTTCATCCGAAATTGCGAAGTGTGCCAAAGGGTAAAACAAGGTAAGGATTTAAGACTTAAATTAAGAATAACTGATACTCAACCGGAACCTTGGAAAAATATCTACTTAGACGTAGTAGGTCCTCTACCTGCATCTAAAGAAGGTCATAAATATATCCTAACTTGTCAGGATAATTTAAGTAAGTATTTAATTGCCGTGCCATTAAGGGATCAAACTGCCGAAGAGGTTAGTGAAAAGTTTCTCGAGAATGTTTTGTTAATTTATGGGCTACCTCAAAGTATAGTGACTGATCAGGGTAGCAACTTCATGTCAGATATTTTCAAGCGCCTTTGCCAACTTTTCCAGATTGAGAAATTACATACTAGCATCTATCATCCTGAGAGTAATGGCGCATTAGAAAGAACGCATAGGACGTTGATAACCTATTTAAGAAGTTATGTTGAAAAACAACCTATGTCGTGGCATCAATGGTTACCTTTTGCGTGTTTTTGTTTCAATACTACCCCACATTCAGTAACAAAATATTCTCCCTATGAGATATTGTTTGGAAGAAAGTGTAATCTTCCCGGTGAACTTAGTGAGAAGGGTACTTTGTATAATTATGACGATCTAATACATGTGATAAAACATAGGATGCGAGAAAGTCATCACATAGCTCAACAGAATTTACAGAAATTTAAAGAGAAACAGCAGGAGAGAGTTCCTGAAAAGAATGTAGTAGCATTCCAAGTTAATGACCTAGTGCTTGTGCAAAATAAGCATAGGAGACATAAGTTAGATGCGCTATGGGAAGGGCCGTATGAGATTAAAGAAGTGCAGTTACCAAATTTAGTGATACAGCAAGTAGGAAAGAGAAAGAAACGTACCATACATGTAAATTTAGTAAAACCCTTTTGTTCACAGGAAGGACAAGATGAAAACAATTCGTCTGTGGATTGTCGGAATTAGTCTCTTCCTTTGTTGTGAGTGTTTAAAGCCTGAACTTGTAGAAGTTATAACATCTGAAACAGGTATTTATTTTGACGAAGTGGGCCAGATCTCATTCTACCCCATGACATGGAAGGTTGTAAGTTACATTGATTTGAAACCGACACGTGATCTCTGGAGAAAAGTAAAAGAGCACCAGAAACGCGTTTCGCAATACTGCCATGGGTTAGAAAGCGCTCCCTGGTACCACCTGACAGATTGTAATTCTTTTAAAGCATATGTTAACAAAAAGGTCTATTACATTGATTCTTTGAAAGACCTAGTAGCAGAATACCTGAAAACAGATGTATCTTACCGAAGGAAGCGAGGGGTTTTAGACTTTGTAGGTGAAATTTCCAAGATTCTGTTCGGAACCTTGACGCAAGCAGATGCAAGAGAGTACAATTCACACATTAATCAGTTAGAACGCGAACAACAAGAGTTTTTACATATTTCTTCCGAACAGATGACAGTAATCAAATCTACTGTTAATTCAGTGAATTTGACAATGAGACGTATAAATCAAAATGAAAAAGTTTTAAAGGACAGCTTAATCAAATTAGACAAAAAAGTAAGTAATGCCACTCTTGAATTACAACAAGAAATAGAGCAAGTGACTACGGCCAATATGCAAATTAAGACTATAGAACGAGGGTTAATGGAATGTCAGCATGGATATGAAATTTTAGTAGATGCATTGATTCATGCAGAACAAGGGACGTTTCAACCGCAATTCGTAACTGCCGAGAAGATCAAAACAGTTGTAACAGCTCAAAAGTTGCCTACTGGAGTTGACTATCCTTCATTTCCTTTTTCAGAGTTACAGCACATTATTGTACCTCATATCTATTCACACAACCAATTTCTCGTGTATGTACTTGACATACCCTTGCTCTCCTCAACACTATTCCATCTGTATAAAATACTCCCTTTTCCTACATTCAAACAAGATAATGTGTTTTCTTTTATATATTCCTCGAAAGATTATATATTTATGGATTCTCTGAAAAGACAGTATGGTAAACTATCCACTAATGAATTAACTAGATGTTTTCACCCAAATCCTATACAGAAAGTTTGTAAAGAAGAGATACCAATACTGTCGTATATACCTGGAAATGATTGTGAATCCACTCTACTTCATCCCTCATCACAAAATATTCCCCCTACCTGTGAAATTAGAGTGTTAAGACTAACGAAGACCTATTGGATACCCTTATCCTTCAGTAATCAATGGCTCTTTGTAACCCCGAAACCTGAGAAACTTTCTGTTATTTGTGATGATATCACAAAGCAGGTAGAAATAAGACAAAAAGGTAAATTGACATTACAACAACAATGTAAAGCTTATACCACTTATGTGACCTTGTATGCTATGAGTACAAATGTTGTAAATGTTTCCCAAGATTTTGTACCTACCATTCCCCTCGACTTAAATTGTTGCCTAACCTTCGAAAAAGCGAAAGAGTTTGAAGAAATACCTTTGTCAGTACCTTTAAGTAATATACTCGCATCTGCAGATGATCTCAGACTGGCCAGTCACAAGGTAAATGAGGTGGAACAGATGATTAAGGAACAGAGAATGAAAGATTATTCGCAATGGTATATTCATGTCACTTCCTGGAGTGCAATTGTGAGTTTTATTGTATTTATTGTATTCTCATGTTGTTGCTGTTGTAAAAGTTGTCGTACATGTTGGTTTAAGATTTGGGACAAATGGACCCCAAAAACTTGTTGGAAAGAAACTACTGAACGCCTGTGTATTAACATAACAAATGTGCAAGGTAAGCAGCCGAGCATTCGCTATGGCAAAACAACACACACCTCTCCGCCTCCATCACCCTCATATTCCGCTCGTGAACCCAATACTTTGACCCCAATGATAGAAGATGGTAATGAAGAAACACGATTACAACCTCCTGCAGCATCCCTTCGTCGTCCCTTATGTCCAAACGAGAGAAACTTCCGATAATGAGAGGAAAAGTCTGGTTCAATATAACCAAACTTTTAAGAAGAAGGGGAGTGTAATATTGTAATATGTACTTAGACTTTTGATCATACTATATACTATTTTAATGTGTAATTTTTGTGTTAGCCAAGAGGGTGCTCCGAGAGAAGTTGAAACCGTCTGTCGCAAGCCTGATACATGTTATCAACTCCTGACCTTTTAACACTTCGATAACATGTTCCCCCAAGCTGGAGAGAAGAGAGTCTAGTTTTTTGGTTCGTCCACGCGCTATGCCGCACGTACACAACTGAACCTTTAAACTCTGTACTCATGACTCCCCCCACCCTCTTTGGCCCTCTTTTTAAAGTTTAATATATAATACCAGTAAGATTAAAAACAGGAGGAGACTTCTTCAAAAACTTGTACTGTATACACACTGTATATACTATCTACATCTTTTACTTCTTTTAATAAAAACTTAGTATAATTGTTGAGCATAGAAATTCGTCTTCAATTAGTGGGTTCCTTACCCGCCTTACCCAGCAAGAAGATATTACAGGGGTAAAGGGCGGCCTGCCAGCCGGCATACGTATAAGGCTGACAACCTCACCGCCATCTGTGAGCCGGTTGTCTAGAACAGTGTTTCTCAACCGCCGGGCCGCGGCCCGGTACCTGGCCCTCGTCTTATAATAAAAGAATTTACCGGGCCGCGGTCTCACAGGTTGGAAACCACTGGACGTCTCACAACCGTATGAGCCTCCGCGGCCTGCTGCAAGGATAGCTTTGCCTTTACCTTGACAGTTGCGGCCTTATCGCTGTGGGCTGTCCTGTCTGTCCCATGTCAGCTGTGCATGTTGCTGTTGCGTCACTCAGTGGCTCATGTTCTGGACACCCCCCGGGCAAATTCCGGGACAGTGCCAGAATTAGAGCATGCGACCTTTGGAGCAGATATGCAACGGCAGAACTATGGGCCGAGCGTCTGTATTCCCATTATTTTCGGGGCATAATTTTGTAACAACCATAGAAGTTTCGGGGGGCGGGGGGGTGGTCATCATGTCGTAAACTTGCCGGGGCAGCTCGGTCACAGTCGGGCACGGTCGGCCGCTCAACTCTCTCCGGTCTGCTGGTGTGTCCCTGAGCCTCTGAACAGTTGTATACGTGCCGTGTGTCTGGAGAGATGAACACCGGCAGGTAGAGTGTGTGTTTTGTGTGTGTGTTGTTACGGTGTGGGAGTGTAGTGATTGGCACCTGTTTCACATTCGGGAGGTAACGGGTTCGATCTGCGACTCATGCCAACTGTCTTGATTCCTGCGTATTAATGGGGTTCCTTTGCTTCTTGTAGTGAACGTTGAGCGGCGTTTTGTTGTTGGTATGGACCGGATTTGTAAATATTCAGACCAGTTTCTTCTCCACAGAGTTATGCAAAACCCGTTTCCTTCCATGTGTTTTGTAGTCACTGTAAAGATCCAGTAGTTTAACACATACACCTTTACCTTTGCAGTTGATAAAACGACTTAAAAGAAGCCAGGCAGCGAGGGAGTATGTTTGTGTTCGGGACATGCGTACTGCCTGAAGTTCGGAGATCCAGCCGGCTGATCGTGATGCCCGTTTGTTCAGTGGTGGCTACACCCCGCACGCTTTAGCTTCTAGGAGCTGTGCGTTGTGCCCACACAGTGTATTTATGTTTTCCTTATGATTCTCGCAGCCAGCAGATCATTTCCCTAAGCAGCGTCAACCGACTGACGCATTGTGCGTGCGAGTGTTTGTTTTAACTCCATTTACGAATTGCTTAATTTCATGCTTGAAAAGGTTAATCAATACGTAAGAGTTGAGACAGACCCTGTGGGCTCTAACGACGAGCCGCCACTGGTCCTGGCAGGTTTTTCCCTTCCTGTGACGTAGTCCCATTGCCCAAACAATTTCCGGCGTGACTCTCAGATTACCGACGAAACATTATCGGTCCGTGGGTTACCGAAGCTTGAGACTCGCGTCTGTGCTACACAGGATGTCACATGGCTTCAGGGCCTCAGTGCCGCCATGTTGGATCGCAGGTTCTCAGCCTTTGTGTTCCGAGATGTCCCTGTAACAGGCCCGTAGGGGTGTGAGACGTCAAGGCCCCCACATTTTCTAGACAATCGGCTCACAGATGGCGGTGAGGTCAGCCTTACGCGCCGGCTGCCCTTTACCCCCAGGAAGATTTCTGGTAGTCATTTCTGTTAGAGGCTGAGTCGGACGTCGGCTGGTACGGTAGAAATTCACTGACATTCTGCCTTCTTCATCAGGGTGAAATATATACTGATCAGGCAACAATCAGGTGGCTTGCCGCTTGCTTATCGTATCTTTCATTCTGAAGATGGAAGCAATACATTGCTCCAGAACGTCGGTGAACTTCTATCAGACTACACGGCGTCACTCCCCGCATTCACCGTCTGTACGGAGCCGATGGGTGCCTCGTAACTTCCCAGCTGTCCCTGTCTGGGCTAGGATGTATGCCCCAGAATTTGCCTCAGTCAGGAGTCGAACCCAGCGTTGCCGTAGGACCAGTCTGTTCGGTTTCTATGCACGCGCGCAGCAGATGGCAAGGTGGACTCTTTGTTCGTCAGCTTAGCAACAAGGAAGGGTTGGTCCAAGGTGAATTCCATGTGCCTTAATTAGGCTCTGAGCAGGATCGAACGTGCTATGTTGGTGCTGCCAAGACAGTCAGCACATCTCCAGATTTGGAAGTGAAGGTCACCGGTTCGAGCGCCGATTGGAGCGTGTATGGAGAATGGAGGCAGACCCTGGGACGGACTGAGAAAAGTCGACATGTAGGGGCCGGGGAAACGAGAACACAGTGGGCTGCAGACGAGCGGGTTAGTGTAGCGGTAGTGGTCCGGGATCGCCTGGTACCGGTTATCGCGACTGAGGATTTACGTGGTTGGCCTCAGTTTCTCCAGTCAGATTTATGGATAAACCACAGCATTCTCCTTCAGTATCCGTGCCTATTCATGATTCACGGTCGACACCCCTTATGGGGTCGCCGGGACCTTGTCTGGATGAGCCACAGAATTTGCTTACAAATTTGTGCTGAAATATTTTAAACCATTTTTTTTCTGATCGTCCTTTGTATTCTTTATACAAGAAAATTTTGAAAACAAGTTCCTTCTTTGGTAGTGATGTTTGGCTCATTTCCTCGATTTTTTCGAAATCGGGTGGGGGGGGGGNTTTTATCTGGATACTAGGGCGTGGCCCCTCGGAGATGGCTAGCAAAATGAAAGGCCGAAGTTTCAATGCAGATTCCAAACATCGGTACCCGCGTTGTTGGCAGGACAGTCTGTACCTGGCTGAGGGACTTCCGGGTCTGGGGCCCACCCAGCCTCCTACCCAGTGGGTACCGGGGTGTGAAGGTGACCACTTACCTCCAACCAGTGCCGAGGTCACATGCACACCCCCATACGCCTTCGTGGCGTAGTGCACAGAGAGATCAGAAGGGCATTTGGTGGGTACACGCAAGGGACTGACAGGGCACAGATTAGTATAATTTTTTTTTAATATGGCCAGCATACAATTGTTACAATATGTACAAAACCATTACACGAAGCGCAGAAGGCTGGACAACACATATGGTCGAGGGTGGCCAAGTTAAAGAAGTTTCGTCTTGTGTACATATTTTGTTGCCGGATCCGTAAAGAACGGATGGCCAACTTAACAGGTTTCATCGTGTAAGTAACACGACTAATGAAATATTTTTCTCTGAACGTGGTACTGAGTGAAGACAGCTCAGGAGACGACGGCATGGCCGCGGCTAGCTTTTTGCCACTGTATGCAAACTGGCTCCAGGGGCCGCCCGGTCTGCTGGCCATGCAATACCGATCGCTCTTTCCCGCAGGGTTAAAGCGCCCAGATCGTGAAGCTAACCACTCTCCTCCCTCCACCTGTGTCTTCATGGAGCGGCACTTGGTCACAGGGAGGGACATGTTTAGGTAGTGCAGAGTAGAATAATTGCTGTGATTTTGGCCGCATCTAAATTTCATGTAAAACTGAGTCCGTACCTCACAGGAAACACATTAGTGAAATAATCACTGTTTTTTATGAGAACTCTGTGGAAGACTTTGGGCAGAATGCCTAGTTTTAGTATGTTAAAGCGGATGGTACATATAGTGACCACTGAACTTTAGAACTTCTTGACAGAGGGCCAGAACACCTATGTTCCCTGGAGTCAGTGGTTCAAATTGTTTGGTTAGAGGCCTAATGAAATTGGCCTAGGAACCTTCAGTGCCGTTCGGTACTGATGTTTATACGAAATTTCCTCCAAGGCCGTCAAGTTGAGGTGATCCACTCGAATCAACCTGCACGGGGCGCTGGAGAGCCTGGGGAAAACACTGTCGTTATGTGTACCACCTTCATAATGTCTGTAGTTTGTCTGATATTGTTAGGATGAGATGGGCAGGACATGTAGCAAGTGCCGTGTGCTGATGGTCGCCGTGGAATGCGCATCGTGAAGTTTGTTTCCTTGTCTGCTGGCGGCCGCAAGAACCGCACTCCAGTCCGGGGCAACGACCCGCGTGGGGGGGGCCTCTGTGGTGCAGAACGTGCACCCTAGCGGCAACTTGCGTTCACGGAGTTCAATAACGCCGTACCAGACTGCACGGAGACAGACTACCACGGCCTGTGGGACGTGACGCCATGCAGTTTGGTAGATACCAGCATTGTAGAGGAAGCTGCTGCTCTTCTTCCCCGAAGATGGAGGCAGTGGTCAATCGGCTGAAATACATGAAAGATGGGATAAATTGGGAAGGATTGGGAATGAAGCAATTGTCAAACGATTTGAGTTACTTCCCCATCACAGGGCTGTGGAAAACTGGAAAACATTGGTAGCAATACAGATGCCTGGACCTGGACCTGAGCCAAGGGTCTCCCAGTTATGAAACAAGTGTTAATCACGTGACAGTGGAAAGGGATGAAATCTCACGGTCCTAATTGTTCAGGTCACATGACCCTATATGTTTCACTTAGCCTCAGTCATGCTGATGCTTGTGGATGTGAAGATAATGTTTGCAGGAAATTATGTGTATAATGAGGCTCATAATCATATTCATCACATGATGTTGTTAGGATAGGCATATGCGAGGTGTGGACATGTAGAGAATGTGGTTAGAAAACCACAAGAGAATGCATGGGAGAATAATATTAAAGTGGATTGTGGGTCTTCCTTGTCTGGGTCAGGGTAGGGTCCAACAGTGGGCTTCTGTGAACATAAGCTATGTTTAAAGTTTTGGACTTGGCGCACTATTCCTAGTTTTTGTATAAAGAAACAGTACATCTCACAAAATGGCTGTTTCAGTGTTCATGTGGGACTAATAGGCGACAATAGATAAACCAGGACAAAATGTCTGACTGTAGTTCTCACATGCTTATGTAGGTGACAGCTCTTTGTTTAAGACTGTGCTGTCAGAAGGGTAAAGATGTAACTTGTTTCACTGTTGCAGTAGAGGGAGGAGGGAAAAAGATAAAGATATGAATGGAAGAGGATGAAGGATGGAGATAAGTGTACAAAAGAAATGATCGTCATAATGAGTTTTTCTGCTAGTAGTCTTAAATATTTCCCATGAACCTTCTAGGTCGATAGATGTGGGAGTTTTTGACCATATGAGTAACTGTCCACTGTTAGCTGCAACTGTGTATTGGGGAAGCGTGGAACTTATGTTAGGAGTTAGGAATGTAATTTTATGTGGGTTGCACAACATGTGGTCAGTCACTCTGGAGGCTGTGAGTGTGTCTTGTGTGAGTGGATTGAAATGCCGGCTGGTTTACAGGATAATGAAACAACCGCCAGGTGGCCAGTGTCATGATCTCTTTGGGGCCGAGTTCAAGGGCTCGCCCTGCCATCACAGGCAAGTATAAAATAAAGGTCTCACAAATAAAGTCTTCTATATCTGCTTGTACTAATCATTGCTGTAGCAGATCTCAACAGTGGTTAAGCACTGACAATGTTTTCACTGAATTACACACGCTCCAATATTACACATAGCCTCCTCTTTACAGCCATCTGTACGGAACTGAACTCTCCTGGACTCCTTTTCATGATGGCTTTGTATCCTTGGTTCACGGCTTGTCAGCTACGACCAACTACAGCTGACTCTTCGGTTATTCTGGAACCTCTTAGAATTCCTCAGCACAGACCACATAGGAAACCTCTTCCATTCTTGTATTACAATGCAGTTGCCTAACAACGAGTTATAATGATGTCCCTATTGTTGTCTGTATTCGTTGCTGGGAAGATGTTTACGGGGTCATTGCCTAGCAATGACGATATTCTTCTATTGTTGTAGAAATGCTCTGTATATCACAATATGTTCAATGTGTTCCATTGTTTTGGCTTTCATTGTGATTGTTTTTTGCAAGAAAGTGGCCATTTCAATGTGTGATGTGGCAAAACCAAATTTTCATATTAGGCAGGCAATAAAAACATAGTAATAAGGACATTGTTATGATGCAGAAGTCAAAAGCCCCATTATGTCCTTTCTGTGGAGCCGGCTGCCAGGGTGCAGATGCAGTGTCTGTTGGACTCGGCTCCATATTCCCATGTAACTGACAAGAAGCTAGAAAACAAAGTGTGACAGAAACGCCTTGTTCATAACTAGTAAATGTGTATGTAACATTGTTGTTATCCTTCAAAATTGTATAATTGCAAGAAGTGTTACTGGTGAGCAGTAACAAGCTTAGTAACCATTACCTTTTCAAGAAGGACCCTGTAGGAATTTGTTTTGCCTTTGAGTGAGACCACAGTTCATGATGGAAGTGGCTGCAGTTTCGAAAACATTGAGTATGTCAGACATACCCTGGACAGTGGACAAGGTGTAGCTGGTTTATTCATGTAATGAATCAGCAATTGTTATGAGCCTTTACAAAATCATGATGGAATGTTGATACACATCACTGACATCTAGTGTCCATTTTAGTAATTGCCTTCCGCAATTGCTCAAGCTCTCAACACTGCCTCCTCCCCCCAAAACTTTGTCTAGTTTCTGACTTTGTATGTATTAATGCAACGAATAGGACTTAGATAATGCCATTCTGGGATGCAAGACGTGAATTGATGTAAGGAAAGATTTCAACTGTGTGCAGAGTGCCATAACGGAAGGAAGTACCTGTGTCTTGCGCCTTGTTTTGAGATTATGTCCTTATTTGCATTGTTACCTGTGTTGCAGGGTACTGAAGCCCCCTGGTGGTGCCAGCAGTGACATATTTGGGAGACCTGATGAGGTAGACCAGTCGCCACGGAAAATTCGCAGTAACCACCACCTGAAATCATCAGTGTTTGGGACCCACAGCACACCTGAGCCACCTGCCACATCACGCAGCAAGCCCGGTAATGATACCCACAACCGCCTGTTTGGCCCACTAGAGAACCGGCCCCAGAGTGCGTCCTTAAATCGAATGAAAAGTAACATTCCAGTTGGAGTGGTGGGAGCTGGATCTGAACTGGGACAGTCCTCCAGCAGCACATCGTCCAAATCTGTGCCCATCGAGAACGGACAACAGGAAATGTTGTCTACACCTAAAGGTGAGATTCATTCCGCCGTCTGTACTCAGCCATTGAGAAACTTTCGTGGTTATCTGGGCAGAATTGTCGCTCTGCTGTGGCAGGATGCAGCAGACTGTTTCACGGGCCACCGCAACCACTTTCTCCCAAATGGAATGACTTCAAAGTATTTAAGAATACATTATCATCTAGAAAAGCAGGCATAATGTTTGGTTGGCCATGCCACAACTTTGACAGTTAGTCAATGGCTTCACACCACCAGGGCCTGCACTCACCCCCAGGGCATCAATGTGCCATTTATGTTGCACAGAATGGCACTGGACTAACATTTTCTTCGTGCCTTTTGATTTTCCACTGTCAGTTATGCTCTCAGTGTTCTGTGCTCACGTGTCAACAGGGACAAGTGCAGTAGGTCCCATTGAAGCCACAGTACCCAGGGACTCATCGCCCTGCTTTTGCATCTCACTGCTTTCTGGGTCTCTAGACATCAGATTTTGTGTTCTGAAAGTCTAGAGGCATTTGTTTGAAACCGCTGATTTATAGTGAGGTCTCGAAAATTAACGGCAGTTCTCATTTAGTTTCTGTACTTGTTCACAAAGTCCTAGGTCCAGATATTCTCCTCAGCAGACCGTTTTCAGATGCCTGTAGTCTGCAATTTTCCCTTATTGTAAGAGACCAAGTTGCACGCCCATACAGAACTACAGACAGAATTGTGGTTACTGTCTGTAATTCCCACTGAATGCTGTTGTTGGCAGACCATGGCCTGATATGAACAAGTGATGAACAAGTGTCATTAGAACAGCTTGCTGTGAACAGAACACATCTGAGAGATAATTCTGCTTGTATTTGTCAGGAATAGTGATGTCGACGGAGACGCTAGGTAACCGAACTTTCAGGATTAAAGTCTGTCTTGAACGGCTGGAGGTTGAAATAAAAGTTTAAATGGGAGCTGCTGGGCTGTGGACTAAACGTAGAAATGGACTGTTAATTCACAAGTGGCATTGCTGGAGTAACTGCCTGACATGTGATCAATAAATTTACATCCAGGAGTGGAATGGAATGCTGCAGGTGCTTTGTTAATGGGTGCCTCAAACCATCCTGCAATTGTTTCCTTGCCTTTATATCAGTTCTAGGTTTGCTTCCTGTCATCATATGATGACCCACTGCAACCTGATCTGTTCATGCTGTTTGCTGCCTAGTCATTGTTTGTGGTGCTAATGATTTGTCGTGATATTAAGCAGATACTCTATGTGTTCACCACATAGTGAACCACTAAACTCAAATGTGCATAGTGGTTCACTGCAAGCCACCAGACAGCAACACCTTCAGCAAGACACTGCACCCTTCTAAGTCACAGATGACAAGCCATTTTAAGGGAACCTGCCGGAATTCAAGGGGAAACATTTTTACATACAAAGATATTTTATTTCGTTCTCCCTCACATGTTTACATACATGAATTAAGATTTTGTTTGTAATTTGAGTAATCTTTTCAGAAAAGGAATTTTTTCGTGTTTGGATACTGGTTTACCATACGCATGCTAATAGCTGGTTGATCAGGTAAATTACTGCTGGCCCTCGCCAGCACAGTCATTCTTGTTTCCAAGTCCTATGCATGATAGATCATTGATGGTCACAGTGTGAGGGCTTGTCCAGGAGTACCCTTTATTCATTCATTCTTTTCCAAGTCCCACGGGACTCATGACCCTGTATTATTCATGGCTGGCTGACTGACTGACTGACTGACTGACTGTTTAATTTCTGCTGGCCCTTGCCAGCACAGTGATTGTTGATTCTGAGTCCCGTTGGACTGATGGTTTAATGCTGTTGTCCTAAACGCTAAAAATATTTGCAAAACATCGTTTCCTCTTCTCTCCAGTCGTTAACTTTGGAGTCACACAGTTGCAGTGTTCTGTATTGACATACTGTATCTCAGCTTCTGGATGCACTTACCATTTTCTTATTCCCTCAAACTGAATCATGGGATTGTACCATGTTATGAATTTTACAGTCGGCACAGATCGACGCCCTGCGCACTTCTGACTTGCTTGCCAGTCTGCATGTGTAGCTGACATCCATTTCTTTGTGCCTGAAGTGTACCCAGTCATAACCACACTTTTCAGCAGTGGGTTGTGATGAAGTCTGTCCATGTGTCTATCTGCTACACTACCTCAAGCTTGTCAGCAGGGGAGTCCCAGTGACTGCCAATGAAATTCATGTTTGACAAAGTGGCACTGTTGCAGGTCTCTTTCAGAGTTTCTTCAGTTTTTTCCTGGCTAATCTATTTTATATTTAGGAGATCCAGGGTTCAAATCTTAGGCCAGAGAGCAGCTATTTTAAATGAGGTATAACCCATCTGGGCTAGTTCTGGCCACAACCTCTTCCTTCCATGTCGTTTCCAATTCATTATTCATTCACTGATGTTCCCAACACTGTGCAGTATGGACTGTGGAGAGAGCTTTAAATAAATCTTTAAGTGAAGTCAAATAAATGGATGTTGGGCACGTGGAACAGTAGAGACATGTATATATGTGTGCAAGAGGAGGAATCCTTGCCCTTTGTGCTGCAGCTGTTGGCATTGTGTGCGTTGGTGCTCCTGGTTAGAGCACCTGTGAACATTGCGCTGGGTACCAAGTGCTGCTTGAGACAGACGGTGGAATATACCATGTTTTGTTTCCCTTTGAATCTAGTTGAGCGGTGTAGTCGCTGGGTGTGTTGAGTGAGTACTGATTTGGATTTCTGCATGATTTGTCATGCATGTTGTTCTCACAGGTTGTCTTTCGTCTCCTGCTGTGGAATGTGGTTTTTGTTACTGTTTGCTGGTATGTTGTTGGATTTTCAGTATTATAGAAACTGGAATTCATGTTGTACATATCTAGAAAGAAGTTTTTGTGATCTGGCAGAATTTCAGAGGTGGAAGAGCTGTCACAGTGGGTTATGCAATATGTTGGGACGTGACAGAACACTTCTCTCTTGTCACTTAGTACACACTGATATTATATTTCATTTCTCTTGGAGGCAGGAACTGAACATTCAGATTTAACATAATTGCTAACCTGCACAGAAATTATCCCTAAGTCTTTTTGTTCTGTGGCTTTGTTACTTCACGTTGCAAGAGTTTACGTGTTACAGGCTGACCCTTCTCTTTTCTCTCTTACTGTGCCAGAAGTCGCTCTCCTGTGCTGGCACGTCTTGCAGAAGAAGGACTGGTTTGTCTACGATACGGTGAAATGAACAGATTCTTTTCAGGTGCATCTCCAGAATGGAGAGGAGGGGACTAGCCTACTTTATTTATGTTTGTAGCGTAGCTTTACTAACAGTTTAGCGCATCAGCTCACAGCCACTGCTTCCTTCAGGCCATAATTTCACTCTGGTAACAGAACCAGCTTAAGATTATGCTCTCCTGGCATGTCAAGCTGTGTGTATAGTCTGGTAGAGAAGTACCCAACATTTGGAGCCTCAATATTCAGGGTAGATATCTCTTTATGGCAACCCTGAAGCCTGTTGCAATAGTATGTCATGTCATCGCACACGTCATACAGCTGCCTCATTAATACGAATGAGTCATTTGTGAGATCTAACAGAAGGTCAGTTGATTTGTGTACACACTTCCATCACACTGGTGATCAAATCTGTCACCAGAGTGATGACAGGTTCCCATGCGCATTGAATTTTTCTCATTGAGGTTCTTTGGCTTCTGGGGTGTGACACTGTATGGTCAATGTAAGTGATTACCAAATTCGAAGTCCAAGGGACATGCACTCAGACCCATGGGAGAGTATAAAGAAATGGAGTCAAGTCTGGGCCAGTGAGAATCCTGTTTCCCCCCCCACAGGAGAGAAATGAAATGGTGGGAAAAGATGACCCTTTCTCAAGGCCCTCTGGATGAGAAGCTCCATTGCAGTTTCCCAGGGGCTGTGCCCCAGAGTTACTAGGTAGTGCACAGTGTAACTGTTCTGTTTGCTTTAATTTCTGATGTTTTGGAGAGTAAATTTGTAATAAGATGAAGGTCTTGTGGGATCTGGTGCCATGTAGTTTGGTAGATAAGTATCTGTGCTGTAAAAGGAACCTGTCATTTCCATCCTCAGGCTTCTTTAACCTTGAAGATGGAAGCAGTAAACTGCTCTGAAACATTGATACCTACCATAGCACACAGTGTGATGTTTCTTAATACTATTAACTTAATATTCACTGATATGAGAACCTCAAGTCTGATATATTATTTACTTGTTGGTGTGGGGGGGGCACCTAGGTTTGAACGCTGATTATTATCACTGTGGTAACAGTTGTGGCTTAGCCCTGTGACATTACTGTTGAGTGGTGCTTGAGGTGTGGTGCATGTGGTGTATGGTGTTGCATGTCGTGGCCTGGCTTCTTGGTTCCAGTCAGGCGCAACCCGGTCACTGGGGAGGGCATCTCTTCAAGTGACAGCACCCACAGAAGAAGAACACAGAAACGAGGTAATGTGTCAGCTGGTTTAGCAGAACCGCATGTTTCTGTGCTCCATTGTAGTATTCAAAATTTGACATTCACTTTTACTTGAGTTTTTAACTTGGTACATTTTCTGAAATTGCACAGTGTGACAAGAAGATCTTGAGTTTCTGTTTTAAACATGAAAAATTTGAAAAACATTTACAGCACATGTCGTGTTGGTTCTGTTCATATTGGTTTAAGGGCTTTCAGGCACAACTTCATGTACAGAGACATTCACAGACTGCAGACAGACAGCAGCCAGCCTGGAAATAGGGGAACACAGTGCAGTTGAAAAACGTAGCAAGGTCCTTGTTAAACTTACACATATCTCAGACAGTTTCCTTTGTCTCAGTTTTGTTTTAAAGAAACACATTGTTTCACAAGGTGGCTCTGCTTCCATCATCAGATAAATATATGAAACCTATCTTGGTCTATTAGATGGTGCTGCTGATATTTACCTGATGATGGAAGCAAAACTAGCTTCTGAAATATTGTTGCTTTAATAAAAAAAAGTGGGATGATGCAATGTGTCCTAGATATATGTCATATAATAACGCCATTTGGCATAAATATTTAGACCTGAGTTCTCACTTGCTCCTCATGTCTAGATGAAAAGATGGCATCGTGTAGTCTGGTAGGTGCATACCAACGCTTTGCTGGAACATGCTTCATCTGTCTTCAAGATTGAAGAAGTCCTCTGCTCTGAAGATGGAGACAGTAGGTCTACCTGAAACTTTGCAGTCTGTACACCAAATTACATGGTGTTACATTTTCAAACACTGTAATCTTAATTTTCACTGCTTTGATTCTCTCATCAGGACTTACAGTGTGCTGTTACTATGTTGCCAAATCTCTTATCCATGTTAAAATATATATATGAGAGCATATTGCCAGCAAGGCTTAGGAGGGAAGATCACAGTCTACACAGTTCTACCCTGAAGATGGAGGTTGTAGTTTCCTCGAAACACTTGTACCTGTCTGCCAAACTACACAGTTTCACATTTCTGCATTACTCTGTAACGAAGATGGTATTAGTCATGAAGAAAGCAGTCTTCTGGGATTTGGCACCGTGTGTATGTGGTGTTAACCGACGTTTCGGAGGAACGTATCGCCTCCATCTTCAGGGTAGAAAGAAAAATATATAAGAAATCTGCAAGCAAAGAGACCGTGAGAACCGGTAAAAGCGATACGTTCCTCCGAAACGTCGGTTAACACCACATATACACGGTGCCAAATCCCAGAAGACTGCTTTCTTCATAGTCACCGCCGTGAAAGCCTCAAATCTTACATGGTATTAGTCATGTTCACATTTGTTTTTGTTCTCTCCACCCTAATGCTTGCACCTGCTGTATTTATTGCATTTTTGCTACAGCCAACCAAACTGGTATCTTTCTGACAACAGAAGTTCACTCATTTTGAATGTTGTGCTGGAAATTGCCCACTGTCTGGAGTATATTAACTAGGCACAGCATTTTGGAAACTGCATTCATGTGTGTGTCCTTAAGGGTAAGGGAAAGACAGTCCTTCCTGGTGGGGTCCCTCATGAAGCAGTGAGGTTCCGTGGGTAAAGGGGGTGAGGGTGCTTAAGGCTTCCCCTCTTTGTCCTACTTCTGAATTCCCCTCAAGCCTTGTTTGGCCTGCATCAACCTGATCATCAAAGCTCAAGTCACTAGAAGAGGTTATCATGCTAGAGAGAGAGAGAGAGCAGCAAGTTCAGTTAGATGTGGAGGGGGCTCGATCTGTGAGACTTTGTTTCCGTGGCCTCGGGATAAGTTAGGTTTAATGTAATGTGCTTTGGCAGAGCAGATCAGGGTGTCTCCACATTAGACCAAGAGCAAATGCTATTGCTTGCTCCTTGAGCTGTTCCTCTGCAGACCATTTGGTCATCATTGCAAATGCCATGCTGGCTTGGTTGGCAGGTTTCAGGTAATGTGTGTACGTGTGCTTAGACGTAGCTGCAGCAGTTCAGTTGCCTTGTCTGCTCTGTGTTGTTTATTCACTGTAAGATCTTCACAAGTTGATTCCTGCATGTTGAATGTATTTCTGTTGCTTAAAATTAAATACTGAATCAACTGTAAAAAGTATGTATTAAGTCGGTTCTATTGAATTATTAATTATAAGTGTTAGCAGAGGTCATGAACTAACCTAACCGTTTCACTGTTGAATGTGAGCCAGATTTATGCAGTTTTGAAGACATGTAAAATTAAGGAAATGGCATTAGAAACTGTAAGTTCTTATACTTCCAGGTTCATGTTTTGACAGATGACACTCCAACATATAGTGTTTGTTTTGCTTTATTTTTAAATATCACAGAGAGGGTTACATGCTAACAAAAGATGGGCCAGCAGTGTGTTGGATTAATACTGACTTCTGTAGTGCAGTAGATAGGCCCTTGTCTGATGAACGCTCATCCCAAGAGACCCTATTCTTAACATTCACTGCTGTGAGCATCACATCTCATGTTGAGTTCCTGTTTAATGGGATATTTCTGTCCCTGCAGATGGTAACCCTGTGACTGGCGAAGGCTACAGTGCAGTTGCAAATGGTGAGAAGGAATCCTCATCAACACAACCTGCAGCCACAACCACCAATGGAACAGGCAGTGCTGAGATCCGTCGTAACCGCGTGCCACCCGGTGGTTACTCCTCTGGCCTGTGGTGAACGGACCACCCGACACTGTTCCCTCTCCTCTTCCAGATGACTGCTAGTTCCTGTTTTCTTCTCCCTTGCAGATCATTCCATTTGTTGGGTGGAAGTTGGCCACAAAGAAGAAAGTCTATCAAGAGAGATGATATTTCTAATTCAGTTAGTAGTGGTGAATTGATAACTAACAAGAATGGTAATATTTTAGTTGTACTAATGTCTTCTTTAATTTAAATGCATTAGTTGAAGCTTTTGTAGTTTGGGGGAAGCAGAAACTTGAAGTACTTGATCATGCCTTTGTCCTGCACAGGACACAGTGTACGTCCCTCATTTTAATATAAATGATGTTATTGGCTTCTGTATATACTGTTGATTTGTGTTGACACGCTCTCTTCTTGCGCAGATGCTTCACATTCTAAAGACTGTTGATTGATTTCTCCCAAGAACAACTTAGCCATTGAAAATAACTTGCTTATAATACTACTTGTATACAATAAACAGTTTTTATGAGTGATTCTTTTATTGTGTAAATTTACCTCTCTTTTTTTGTGGGTTTGAATCTTGGTCTCTGATGTTGATGGAAGAACTCACAGTGAGGGTGTAAGGTAAAATTGTGCCTGTGCTTAATTAAGCACTGTGCGTGAAAACATACTGGGTACTGGAGGTATAGCTCCATGTGTTTTAGTCTTCACGTGAGATGGAGGTGAGTGGTTATCTTTGCACTCCCCTGACCCTTTTGGGTAGGAGGCTGACTGGGATGAGTGTAGATGCTGTGGAGATGAAAAGTAAGTCTGACTGAGGTATGAGGTTGTCGTGATGATGTGTATGAAGTTATTGTCTTCTGGGATGAGACCGCGTGTAGTCTAGGGAGATCACTGTGAAACTGTACTCTTCACTTGCATGCTATTCTCAAAACAGTTTCACTCCTTTGTAGTGAAGATGGAGCTGTGGGTTCCTTTGAAATATCAGTGAATACCCACCAGACTACATGGCATCACATCCCAGCAGAATATCTGCATATGTCCTCATCATTATGTCTGTCCCATGTGAGCAGATTTCTGAACATGTTCACTGGGGCAGCTCAACTAATGTGAGAAGGTTCTGTTATTTTGAGATGCCTGTCATTACAGGAAGTTTTATTGGTAGTATACCATGGTGTGTTGAACCAGAACATTTCTTCATGAAACATGGCGGTAACTATACGTATCATCTGCTTTAGCATTAAAGAAATCTACATTTTTCCCATGTATATTTATGTGTTTTGCATGGTTCTCTGACTTAACAGTATCAAGTTGATGGTCATCGCTGTGGAGACACACTGAATGGATCTGTGCGTGCGTGAGATAGGGGTATGGAGGGGGAGAAGTGGGAAGCAACTTTTGTGTTTAGCTAAACATCAGTCCTCATGAATGGCCATTTTTGCAGGCATAGGTTTTCATGGTTTTTCAATGTTTTGAGGAAAATGTTGAGATGCTTCCCAAGTTCTCAGTTGATACTGTTTGCTTCTTATGCAGCCCTCTAGAATGACATTCATCAAAATCAAACCCCTCGCTTTAAAGACCACCAGTTATACTTCCAAGATATACAGTTCACCTTTAATTCTGAAAATCAAAGTTGTGTGGCTCTTATCTTGAGCCATGGGTTCTAACCGTTCTAATGCCCATATCAGAGGGATCAGCAGACAAAACCTGGGAGCCTCTTATGATATGATGCTTCCCCTCCTTCCCAGAATAAAGTGTTTGACACTTCTCCCATGACTTTCCCTTTCCACCTTCTCTTCTATGATTGTTCTTTGCCTCTCTCTTTTTCATAATTCATAATGTAAAACATGAAGGAACAAAGAAGGCAGAAATAAATAAAACTCTTCCACTCTCTGAAGGAACAGAGTGCACATGACATCTGGTTGCCGGTAAGTATCTGCAGAGAAGGGCAATGGACAGGTTATTCTTCATCATTGTTGGCACTGAGCAGACCAATTGTACAATATCTGGTCAGGGAAGAGTAAGGAACATTGCTCACCTCATGACTCAAGGTACGCGGGTTGAAACCAGGTGGAGGTCGTGGAATTTTTAAAGGCGGAAAAATTCAGGGAACAAGTCCTCTGGGAGGGACTTTAAGCCGTGTGTCCCATGTCATAGATTTACGGCACGTAAAAGATCCTCATGTCTCTAGGAGACCTCTGAGCAAAATTAGGCAATGTTTCCTGCCCAAGTAGTTTCCAATTCCTCAGGTAGATGGGGGAAGTATTGGGGACCACTGCCAGAGAGGGCCGAACTCGCTGGCACAACAGGGCTGATAGCAAGCACCAGTACTCGAAGGGCATGGTGACTAGTAGAATATTAAAGGGGGACGCACAGTAGATTAATAACTAGTCGTGGTGCATGGGGAAACCCACCCCCTCCAATAATAATAAAGGAACATTGCTTCCTTTGCTTGCATTGACTGAATTTCTTCTGAGGCAGGTGTTGCGTTCCCCGGTGCGTTGGTTATGAATGTGGATGTTAACCAAAGAATACCACCTTATGGGAACTATATTTGATGTGTGTCGGGTTTTCAAACCAAATGCAAAGGTTGATAAGCTTGGTAAAGGCCCTGCCAAGCAAGATCATATTACTGTCGCGGGAGGCCCAGGAAACAGCCTGGAGAGAAACTCATTATGCAATTAGAAATGATCCCAACTTCATTGCAGAGAGGACATCAAACACAGGTGTTGGATTTTGTCAACCTCTTTGAGAGGCGTGACGAGCAATGGATGAATGGGAGGGTTAGGAGCATGAATCGAAGTCTTGATTGGACCTTGATAAGGCATGATATCTCTCACATTGATGTTACTGACATATCTATTGCAAGAGAAGATTACACCTGAGCTCCCGAGGCAAGAAGAGGCTCACGCAGCTTATTGCTGAGAGGGTTGGTGTTGGTCATGCGTCAGGTATAAGCGGTATTCCTGTTATAACCCATGCTAGGGCATCTCCTTTTTTAGATTAAATTCAGATATACAGGAGTGCTTGATGTATATTAAACGCTGTCCTGCAGTCTTGGAAGTAAATGTCTTTCACCAGAATGTCAGAGAACTGAGAAGCAAAGGTGATGAATTACTATGCTCTTTGAAATAGGCAACATAATATTTTTATAGATAGGGGAAAGTAAAGTTCTTATACAACTCCCATAGTCAATGGCCTCTCAGACCACAATTCTCAATTCCTAACAGTAAATAATATTACTACAAAAGTAAATGTAATGCCCTTGAAGCAGAGAACCAAGAAAAATAAATAATGAAACCATTGCTCAATTTCAGCATCTTATAGTAAATATACATTTACATTTATCTTCACTTTATGGATCCAATCATGTCCCCACTGGGCTGGATATAAAACATGTCACATTACAAATTCATGATGACTACACTTCATTCGTCCTTTGTGCAATAAAATATATAATCAGGCCTGTCACAGATAGCTCAAGTTGTCAGGACAACACACATGGGTCGTGGTAAAACCACTATCAAATTCACGCCTTGCCATTCCACACAAACTGGCAAGCTGTATCTTTAAAACAGATACATTATAAAATATTAACATTCATAACAAAAACAGACATCAGACATACTACCACACTTACAACAAGCAAGTCTCAACAATGTGGAATTCATGCACACAGACCATTTATTAACGCTTAACTTCTGAGCCCCTTGCATGCGCAACAAATTCATCAATAGAGTAAAATACGCTACTTTGCAAATAATTTCATAAAACAATCCTAATTTGCTTTTTATCATTTTTTAAAACTGATATTTGATGGCAGAGTGTTAAATAGCTTGACACCTGAACAATACACCCCTCTCTGATAGGATGATAGATGTGTTGAAGGTGGTCATTCCTTCTGGTACCAATGACATAGACAGAGTTATTGGTTTGAAACTCATCCAAATTATTAAGAACAAATGTCATCAATGAGAGCAAATATACGCATGGCATTGGCAGTATGTCAGGCTTTTTAAATAGATCTCTACATGAATACTTGTTGTCTAGAACATGAGTCATCCATTTTAAGGTTGTGTAAATAGCATAAGTGACAGTATTGATGTATATATGTGGATGTATGAGTACCCTCATATGTAACCACTGTGTTCTCTTGTGCGAGAATTTCAGTTGTACTGTACACATGTTTTTGTATTTATATGACATATTCCACATCCTACAGTCATTTGATTCAGGGAATACAATGCAATGTGATGTAATGTAGTCTGACATTTCAGAGGAAGCGTCAGGCTGAGGGGGTAGCAGGAATAGTGGTTGCTTTATGGCACACCCTCCAACCCTCAAAATAATAATTGGCACGTTTCTCTGAAAGGTTAAACATGTGCCAGACTACACAATTTCCCATCCCAGAAGATAGTACTGTTTGAGTCACTGCTGTGAGAATCTCAGATCCAGGCCAAATCTGTAGGATCTAAGGTTCTCACTTTGGAGACGATATGGAATATGGCCCCATGGAGTCAGAAGTTCTGCACCATTCCTGAGGAACGGGCTGCCAGCATCTTTGGGTTTCGAAAAACGTAGCTCTGCTTAGTGGCTGTCTAATACTGGTGTACTTGGCTTACTCTGCAGCTCTGGAGATGTAGGTGCTTAAGGTCTTTCAGTTACCTGACTACAGGGCCATACAACCCACATTACTGTTCTCTTTGGGATCAGCTCCTATTTTATGGGCACCTGCATTTCCCCCCCCCCCCCCCCCCTCCCCTCCTATACCAAAAAAAAACGTTCGTTGGTTCTNGTAAGAAAGGTAAAGTTGTCCCTGTTCTTAACTAATTAAGCACTGCCATGAAGGGGGAGTGGGTGTATAGATCCATATTTACTTGACCTCTGCAGTAACTGGAGGTGAGTGGTCAGCTTCACGCCCCGGCTGCTTTAACCCCGGGGAAAGTGCCCCCATACCCATTGGATAGGAGGTTGGGAAGACCCCAGGGCCAGTGTGGACGACTTGGAGAAGAAAAAATTTTGACCCTACAGGGACTCCGACCCCTCCCTCGTCCAGCCGGTAGCCAGTCTATTCCGGCTTCTAACGCGTTGGTCTGTAGCATGCGTAATTAGCGGTAGTAAAATGTATAATTATATAGTTTGCAGGGTGCGTAATGCTAATAATTTTATGCCATCTTGTGGTTTATATGGAATTTCACTACTTATTTGTCGAAGAAAGTTCATGAAGGAAATCTATAGATGGCAGCATATATACGTCCACGATACTCTGCCACCTAGCGGTGGATTTTAAATTTCTTGGAGTTTTGAGGCCTGCTTTGAATGCGTAGCGATCCTGAAGCAATGTATGGACCGTATGGACATGCTTCCCGACAATATGCACGGACAACATGGCTATGACCGAGGAATGTGGCTGCGATTCCTTGCAGGGGCAAAACATTTGTACCTCATCCATCAATCCTGACCGGCTCTCGGGCCCGCCCAGTGTGTGCCGGGTGTAAAGCGACCGGCGCGTGATTCTACTCACTCACCCCCATCTAATGCCGAGAGTAAGAATGGAGTTGTACCTCCACTCTCCCATACATATCAATATCTTGGTGCTTAATTACACACAGAGGCAGAGAACTGAACCAGTACTTGGATGTACAGTACAGCCAGTAATAATGGGAAAACGGGAGCTCTAGTAACTCCATGGTACAGTCTCTTGAGAAATTTATACCTATTTAGCTCATACAGGAAATCTTATCCTGAGCAAGTCTGATCGAGTTGACTCACTTCGTACATATTTCTCTCAAAAATGTATTTTCATATTACATCTGAATTTCTCCATGGTTCTCTCAAGTGATCTGTTTCTTTATTTTCTAATGTAAATGTATTCATTTTTTAATTCCACCATGCGGCATGTGTTACTCTCCCATTCTATTATTGACAGCCGTAACAATGCCGGGGCGACTGATACAAATTGTAAAGATCATTTGTACAGACTTCCTGTTCGCTCTTTTGTGTGACGGCGCAATACGTACATTGCCACAGTCTTTACGTTATTAGTACCGGTAACTGATGTGTCTGTATGCATTGCATCTATTTTACCGTGAAATATTCAGATAAGATGCCTTGCGAAAGCCATCGTCGTCCTGGTTATTAATGCCCGAAGAATGCAATTCAAGAATCGCATGATAGATGTCTCTGTGTCTGTAACAGACTTGCCGTGAAATCGACATATTTATCTCACGGAGGGCGCTGATCCTCATTTTACTTCAAGGACGGCACTGAAGATAACTATGGCAGTGCTGCTCATTCTTAGCCCGTGTACTTCGTAGGAGCACGAATAGGAAATGAGAAAATGGAAGAAAGCGGCCGCGATATGTTCGCATTTGCTTGGAGGAAATGAGTAGCCGGGATAGCTGACCTCCAAGCCAAGAATCGAAGTCGAAAGCTCGAGATTTAGTGGGGGGTGCAGTCCAACTGGGTCCACTCGGCACGGCGGCCACTGATTGGCCTATTGTAGCCTGCCCCGGGTGATTATGATGATGGAGAATTTGGTGGAATGAAGATTGGCAAGGGAAACCGAAGTACCCGGAGAAAACCCACCCAGCGCCACTTTGTCCACCACAAATCCCACTTGACCAGACCCGGGATCGAACCCGGACCGCCGCGGTGGGAAGCCAGCGACTAACCGCTTGAGCTATGGCGCGGCCCAAGCTCTAGCTTAATGCGACACAGGGCTTTATTATCATCATTGGAGCGTTGTTCTTTTTTCTTTCGACACCAGATTAAAATTTGTAAAATAACGTCGATAATAATTTTGTTGTAACTGCATTAATGCTTCATACTTATACGTTGTAGAGGTATAAAACGATGCACTGCATCTGAATAGGATTCAAAATGACGAATCTTAAGAGGAACATGTTCTAACCACGTTCACTTATTTATTTACGGCGTATTTAATGACGGTCACTAGCTGACATTGTAAATTATTGTGGCAAGATGATGAAAGAATTGGAAAGGATGTGAGAGGAAGCGTTGCGGCCTATTCCAAGGCAGTATTTCGGCGTCAGAACGGTGGGACTGAAGAAAACACTAGGATAATCTGTGTCCCAGTTGAGATATGAACTGGGCACCTCCCATGTGTAAATCAGACGCTTTGCGTGCTGAGCCAGTTTGCTCGGTCACATTCAGTTTCTAGTCTTAATTTTGTTTGGGTGTTTAGAAAGTGTGTAATAAGTTCAGCGTAAAATATTCATTTGGATTTTATTTCATTTATTTAGAGTACGCATATTTCAAATTGGAACTAAATTTGATGAAACTATAGAATCGGCTCATTCCGGCACCACTACGGCCCTGGGGTCGACTCAGCCTCTAACAGAAATGATTACCAGGAATATTCTTGGGGGTAAAGGGCAGCCGGCGCGTAGGGCTGACAACCTTGCTGCCATCTGTGAGCCGATTGTCTAGATAATGTGAGAACCTCGACATCTCACAACGCTATGGGCCTCCACGGCCTGTTACAGGGATATCTTTACTTTACTTTACTTTATATAGAATCAGCTTCGTTCGTACGTTGACTGACAAAATTGCTGGCCGCATGTTATTTAGAAAATCCGTGCGACCACAGATGACCAGGGCTTGAACTGGGTCATTACAACGGGAGTATGAAATACAAAGAAACTAAACTGAAACCACCCAGTTCAAACGTTTGTCATCTGTCACACTGTGCTCTCTGAACATACTCCTGCATGTATTGTGTTTCTTTTGTTTCTAGTAGGAAAATGGCGGGGTTCTTGTAGCGAGGTGAGGAAGATTATGTCAAAAAATGAATAATTTTACAGATGTGGAGATAGTGGACATGCATTTGACAGAAACGTGTTGTGCAGTGTGACTCGCCACTCGCACTGGAAGTGACAAAGTGGTGCCATTTGGTTTGGTGTTAGCGTGAACTTGTGCACTCGGGCCAGTGAAATGTCTCGCATCGTAAAAGGACTGATTATTTCCTCGCCTTGCAGTGTTCAGTTTGATGCGAAGAGTCTGTATTGGTTTATCTGTGTAAACATTATACTCTTTAATGTAATTTCGTTACTAGTGAGAGTGTATACTGTATTTCGTTTCTGAAATCCCGTGATACAGTCGTAGTCAAAATAATGTGTACATCAGAGTTATTCAAACATCTATATCATTTGCACGGAGATGCACCGCACCACTGGACAGATGCAGAGGCGCTGGTGAGTAAGGGACTCTCTTTGTTTTGTTAGGTTATGGCTTACCTGACGACTATATCAGGAACTCAGACTATACAGAATTGAATGTTAAGATCGGAGTGAATAATGAATTGGAAAGGATGTGGAAGGTAACGGTCGTGGCCTAATTTGAAGCAGGTAATTTCCCAGCATTGGCATGCAGACATTTTTAAAAGACCACGAAAGATTGTGCATTTCTTCAACAGGTTACTCGTATCTTTCCCAAGAACCTCCATACGAAATTCTGACCGCTGTAAGCGCTGAACAGGTTGGCTTAGCCGCAACATAGGAGACCGGGATACATGCCATCCTGGCAAGTCTTTTCGTGATTCTCTTCAGTCTATCCTGCCAAATGCTTGGATAGTGTCTCCACTAGGCCACGACCCTTTCCTTCCAAATCCATTCCCACCTAGTTCATGCATCCTCACATTCTGCGGAATCCAATCGAGATACTGATAACGTCACTAAACAACGAAAAAGAGAAAAATACGACGTAGGAAGCAGAACTCCATTTATTTGCGGTCTGTGCTTCACGCAAGCATTTGATGCTAAGTTTAGCAATATTCGAATCTCGGATAAGTTACCGGCTGGCCTGACATATGCTTTTCATGGCTGTTCTCAGTATCTCCACCCGAATGTATGCAAACAGATCACAGAAAATAATGGGATCTCGAAAAATACGACCCGTACCATAATGATCTGAATATTTCGCTTCAAGTTAATGCTTATGTACGAGTAATACGTGAGGTTTTCATAGCAGTGGATGTGAAGAGTGTTCTCTTCTTATCCCTTCTTCCCCCTCAAATGTCTGGCCCAGTGCTCGCAGCTCCACGCAGTTTATTCTTCAGTGCTGAGTATGGCGCCTAACTAGCCAACCAGCTAACAACATGGAACAAGAGCCCTTCCCGAGAAGGCTAAACAATTCCCAGAATTTTACGAAACCCGAAAGTTCATTGCCATGTTCACAAGAGTTCGCCACTGGCCCCTGTCCTGAGCCAATTGAATCCAGCTCACATCGTCCCCTTCCGTCTTGTTTCTTTAAAAGATATTATAATATTATCCTCCCATTTACTCTCTGGTCCAATGGTTACCGGGAACTGTTTCTCTTGGAGTAATGCGGCAGGAGCGTGAAGCTGACCATTCACCTCCGTCTCATGCTAAGGGTATGAATGATAGAGCTATACCTCTACTCCCCCATACGTCTTCATGGAGTGATGTTTAATTAATAAACACAGATCTACTTTACCTTCATATTTTATCAGTTACGCCTAGGTCTCCCTAGCGGTCTTTCCTTTCAGGGTTTCCCCACCAAAATTTTGTATTGTATTATCTCCCACGTGTGCTGCAGGCGCTGCCCATCTCATCCTCCTAGGTGGGTTTACGTGTGCGGGACGGTCGTGTAGGATGCTCTGGGATCTCGGTATTTCCGTGGAATGTTTCCATTTGACTGTATCTGAGTGTCAAACATGACTCAATTTTCCCACGCCCTATGCAGAACAGCGACGCATGCGCGCACGGTGATTGTGTTCCGGATCGGCTGGAAAACAAAAGCCTTCCACTTACACAAAATTGGATCATTAACTGAGAGACAAGGACCCGTCAGGGGCGGCTTCTCACTGGGGGACATGCGCCGCCGCGTCTCTGTCAAGGGTTTGAGAAGGCTACCGAGATGTGGCAGTCAGTAACATTCTCATTGTATCTAGACCGGATCTGGGGCCAAATCAGTATCATACATAGTTCATATGATAAGGCGGTAGAAGCGTGAAGCTTTTCGAAGACGTTAGTGTAACACCAATTGTAAGAATGCGTGAGTTTATACCTCCATTCTCCAGAATTCTTCATGCTTTGTTGCTTATTTAAACACACAGACGAATTTGCCCCTTCCGAAGACTANCATTGTTACTGGAAGACCAGTCCGGATTCTGTTGCCCCTGTTGCCATGGAGAGATATGTACTTACTATGACAACAGTTGAGCAACTTGCGTCAAACCATTGAATATGTATGAGTTTTGTTAATCGTACCTCTACGTCAGCACCAATACGCAAAACTTCTGATACAGCCTGGTTTCCGTCTTCCTTTATGCTCCACAAAAGTCAGTAACGGCCTTTTGAAAGCGAATAATTTCATAATTCGTTTCGTTTCGACTCTGTATTAACTGTAGGATTTGGTTACGAGTTCTGAAGGATACAGAGAAGATGTTCATGGTGTGTTTAAGGCCCTATCCCACCATTTGCCTGAGAGCTGGCGAGGACCACGAAGCTCCTCAGACATGTCAGAATCTGTCAAGGTGCAAACAGAGAACATCTCATTATATCACATGAGCCTATTATATAAATCGGGGCACGAGGAGCGTAGTTGGTAGAGGCACTGCTACAAGCCGGAAGGTCGCGGGTTCAAGTCTCGTTGAGGTCATTGGATTTTTCTCATTTTACCTAATCCTGCCAGCCGCACTATGGCCCTGGGGTCGACTCAGTCTCTGACAGAAATGAGTGCCAGGAATATTCTTGGGAGTAAAGGGCAACCGCCGCGTAAGGCTGATACCCTCACCGCCATCTGTGAGCCGATTGTCTAAAAAATGTGGGAACCTCAACATCTCACAACCCTATGGGCCTTCACGGCCTGTTACGGCGATACCTTTACTTTACTATATATAAACTCAGTACGTACTTCACAAGAAACGCATTACGTCACCACTACAAAACCCAACCGGTTAATGCTGTTTGGGGAAACAGACGCTGTTTGCTGTGAGAACCATACGGAACACACAGATACACGGTTACATTTGTAGCATGTAGTGTACCCAAACACACATTAAAAGCATGGAACACCTGAAAAGGTAAAGCTATCCCTGTAACAGGCCGTGGAGGCCCATAGGGGCGTGAGACGTCGAGGCTCCCACATTTTCTAGACAATCGGCTCACAGATGGCGGTGAGTTTGTCAGCCTTACGCGCCGGTCGCCCTTCACCCTCCTGAAATATTCCTGGTACTCATTTATTTTAGAAGCTGAATCGGCCCCAGGGCCATAGTGCGGCTGGAAGGACTAGGTCAACTGAAAAATCCAGTGACCTCATTTAGAATCGAACCCGCGGTCTTCCAGCTTGTAGCATAGTGCGTCAACCAACCGTACATCTGTAAATCCGGGTGAAATGCAACTGTTTCCTTATATTCAAAGTACAGACGATATAATCAAGAGCCGTGCCACACCTCAGGTGGTTAGAGGTCCAATGCCAGGGTAATGGGATTTGTGGTGGACGAAGTGGCACTGAGGCGAGTTTTCTCTGAATACGTCCGCTTCCCCTGCCAGTTACCACAGCTTCACAATCATTAATACCTAAGACCTGACGCTATGTAGTCTAATTAATAACAACGTCGTTCAATAACCAACTAAAAAGAGATAACTTTAACGGTTATCCAGTGAGTTCATGAAGGAGCGGTGGCATTTGTATTCAGTTCGGAGTTACGACAATTAAAGGCGGGCAGGAAGTGCGTGTGTTGTCCGCGGGGGAGGGAGAGGGCAGCACTGTGAAGTACCTGGCAGTGACAATGCCAGGAGCACAGCTGCTAGACTGAAGACCGTCGCATTGTTGGAACGTCATGAAGTGGCGCTCAGGTAGGGTGTTTCAGTCTGTATATTTGTCAGTGCGTGTGAGAAGCGAACCGTGTTCTGAGGAGAGAAAATGCGCATTTTAGGTATGTAACCTGCGTTGTACGCATGTACGCTGATACTGTACGTCAAATCACATTTTTAAAACTTGAAGTTCTCCTAAACCATTGCGTGTTTAAATATTCAGTCCGTACCTCACAGGAAACACATTACGTCACCGCTACAAAACCCAACCGGTTAATGCTGTTTGGGGAAACAGTCGTTGTTTATTGTGAGAACCATACGGAACACACACATACACTCTGTGGCCAGAATGCAGAGTTTTGGTGTGTTAAAGCGCGTGGTGCATATAGTGACCACTGGGCTTTGAAGGCTATATAAGACAGGAAGAACTCATATTTGGGTCTGGGTTCAATCCAAACTTAGAGGCGTCCCGGTTTCATTCCATATTTTAACATAAATTAAAAGACCTGAACAATAATAATAATAATAATAATAATAATAATAATAATAATAATAATAATGGGAGCACGCGTGGCGTAGTTGGTTGAAGCACTATGCTACAAGCCGGAAAGTCACGGGTTCACG